AATGAACTCTTTAAGTATCTTCAATCTGATTAATTACTAACATTTTAGCTGTTGAATATGTCTCATGATAATTTAAAACAGAACTAAATAGGAATTTGTATGAAGTTAAAATATAATGGAGAACTTACTATAAATTACAGATTCACATTTGATGAATTCCTAGACTACTCTACCAAACTGATTACGGCAACAACTTTCAATTGTAGTTCAATAAACTTTGTTGTACATCATTCTTGGAATTTTGTGGTAGAAGGAAAGATTGAAGGTATGGATCGGATTTCAGGACAACTGACAATTGAATATACACACTTCTTCCATGGCTGTTGTATTTCTTATCATGCTTCAATACGTTCATATGTATATACGTAGAATGTTTTGAAGTGTAGAATAGGCGAAAAGAAGTTATCAATGTTCTTCCAACTCACTCCATATTGGTTAACCAGCTTGAAAAATTTCAAAAATCCCCCAAAAAACCCCAAAATAAAAAAGGTAATAATTTCGTGATGAAGACGGATAGTTGGTTAGAATAAGACGTCCGAAAAAGTTGATTTGAAACTGTCCTAAGAGGATAATCTTCAGTGAACAATCAACATTTCATTTTGTCTCTAGACTATTTCAAAGTGTGAGACCATCTATTCAACAATAAGATATTTCTATCCTTCTGGGTTATCTGTTGTTGATTTTAGCTATCAAAAATTCCCCTTCTATTATGATCGTATTTCGACATTTCATATAAATAATAAAAGGAATGTAATTTTTGATCGTATCTAAAGCAAACGATACGCTGAACTGAGGAAAAGAACCTAGAAGACTTGGATTTTGACGATGAATGGTGTCTGATGTCACACAAACTCGAAGATCTACAGGCGAAAACTAACAAGATGATAGAAGAGACAAAGCAGCGAAGATGGGACTTCACGTGAACGAAAAGAAGACGGAAGTGATGAACATACCGCACCTACAACACAATCACCAACATCAGAAGCCTCCAATCACCATCAATGAGAGAAACTTGAGGGAAGTGGCCTCTTTCAACTATATAGGTAGGCAGCATCGTTTCACCTACAGACAGTACAGACGGAGATGTCAAAATCAGAATTGGAAAAGCAAGATAGGCGTTCATTAAGCAGCAACCAGTGTGGAGATGGACTGCACTGCACTCAGTATAATGCGTGAACAACATCCGGATTTTCAACACCAATCCAGTCAAGTCAGTGCTTCTGTGTGATGGTTGAGAGAGTTGACGCGTTACGAAAGGCATTTGCAACAAACTACAGATATTGATCAACAGCTCCTGCCTACGCTGGCTGGTTACTGAAGATCGTATGGATGGCGAGAATAGTGAGAATAAGCAAGAAGGAACTCTGGCCGGTGACGAACCAACAAAGCTCAATAAATATGCAGTGAAAGGAAGTGGAGATGGGTTGGATTGGGCATGCCCTGAGAAGGCCGACTGGGGACATCAGGTGGCAGACCAGTTGGTCGAGTGGAAGTTGAATGGGAATGGACGAGTTGTGTTTCTGAGTTGATGGTGACATGGAGGAGATGGTGTGAGGAGGGAGGGAGAGCTTGTGGGCATTCGTGGGACGAGGTTGAAAATATTTCAGAGAAGAGAGTGTGTTGGAGACGTGCTACTGAAGGTGTCTGTTGCATTAGGAACCCAAGTGATAATTTATATAATAATAATGAATCCAGAGCAAACAGATAATCATAACTCCATCAAGATTTATTTCGTGATAATGATAATCACAATCGACAGAGTAAAAATTTGCGGTGGTTTTTTGACAATTGTCCGGAGATTAGTTATTTGATATTGGCTTCAATCTACTGACGGTATCATGTTGCATGATTACTCAGAGATTGATTATTCAGCTTGGATAATTTACATGATAAACATTGGGGTTAAATATGTGTAGATGATTTGCAATTTCTGGTAGTTGTGTCATTTACTTTCTACCCGTGCGGTTTTTAAGATGAATCCCATCATCATTTTAAATTAGCTGGATTGTAAAATAATTGTGAATACTACACAGATAACTTGCTATCATATTATACATTTAATGGGAATTGTAAATTTCCACTCGTGGATTGAATAGAACTACATTTCACCTTAAAAGATGTAGAATGAATTATTCATCATTGAAAAGAGAAATACATGAGAAGTGTAGGCAGTTTACATCCATTCATACAAACGTAAAAAAACAGTAGAGACTTATGTAACAGATAGCGAACAGTTTGCTTCATTTCTGAGACCTATAAACGATACTCAACGTTTTAACAGAACATCGAAACAACTACTTAGCCAGGTCCTTTTATGTAGGAAGATCAGTTTCCTACTCAAAGTTGCCTTCTATTGGCCGACAGACAGATAACTTATCATTTATCTATTTCTGTTGAAGAGATTACTGCAAAAAATCATACGGTTTGGCACTTTGGTAATGCTGTTACAGAATCATGACTTAAGGTGAAATGAAAACTTAAACTTCTTACTGAGTACACGTTTCAATTTCCTCTCTTGCCTATGCACCAAAAAAGGAATATTTACTGATTACTCAAACAAATTTTCAGCCAATATAATTTCAGAAATAGTTTCCTTTATCAAATGTCTTTCTTCTTTATCCTTTATAAATATCACTTCATCATGGTCCAAGATTGTATTTATGATCACAGTCAATGAGCAGATAGAAGGACAAGTATATAAATGAGGACAAGAAGGCTGTGTGTTATGAACAGTGATAACACAGAGGGAAAATATTTCCAGATTTCAGTTTGATGTCGTCAGCCTACTGACGATATTGTTATGCAGCATTATGTAGCCGTTCCATTTTAATCTGTTTATTAGAAATGTCACACACAGTGAAGGAATAATTTCATTCATTAGATAACCTTTCGGACATAATTTATTGTCCATATTCATATCACCTAACTCCACAATTTTGAGACGGAGTTTATAGATATATATAATTATTTTTATATCAACTGACAATTGAATATACACACTTCTTCAATGGCTGTTTTACTTCTTATCTTGCTTAAATACGCTCATATGTATATGCTCAGAATGTTTCTATCATTACTATCATAAGCGTTTATAGATTCTTAATTTTCTCTCCTTCTTTGTGATGAAAAGGGCAGTAGAATGTTCCATATATCTGGGACAGTTGAGGAATTATTTCCATCTATTCCATTTATTTAGTATTGATTAGATAAATAAAAATTCGGTTATCAGTCTCTGTTACCCTTCACCCAACTAACTTGGATTTTAACGCTATCGCTCTATCCCAACGTACTATGTGATTGTATGCAATTGCATAATTTCAGAGCTATAGTCGAGCTTTTCTCTAAATTTCTAACCTTAATAGGATCTACTAATCTTGATTTAGCCAGCATTTTATGGTCTGTTGTTGTAATTGACCCTGGCCGACTACTTTGATCTATGTATTTGACATCGTAATCATTTCAAGGGATTTCGTAAACCAAACTATTTTGCCTAATTACATTAACATGATCTACAAAACTTGTTTCTAGGCGAGGTTTTTTGGTTTAAATGCAAATTTAATCCCAGCTAGCCTTATTCCGAATTCTTCGTTATGATAGGCAACTTTTGTTTTAATTACAATCGATAGGTTGAGCAAATATGATACTCTATAAGCTAAATAAGTTATAAAAATGATATTTTTAAGTACAGATAGTAGATTTTTGGAATCGATCCCGAGAATAAACACTTACCATAAGATTACATAAATTAGTGTTATTGCTTTTATTACACCGTTGTTGATTGAACCGAATTGATAAGTCTCTGTTGGCATATGGGCTTCTATGCGGATGCCTCGATATTGCCTGTCTTTTAACTATGTATAGTAATGGTGAGCAGTGACTAGCAGTAGAATACAGGATGCGCATTTAGTCCTATTTTGGACTCACTGGTCAGCTGGATGTACCTGCCTCCTAGTGAGTAATGTTGTTCCCTTCCCAGGACTCGGGAACGGGAGCGAGGTAATATTGTAACACTGTTTGCTATGTAAAACGAACAGATCTTATATTGAAAAACATTGTACCATGTTGTCCAATTTTTACACCTTTACAAATAACGTACAAATCCTTGCTATTTTGAGGTTAAATAATAAGCACTGAACTGAAAGTAACGAGTATTTCACTCTGTTTGGCCAGCTGCTACATTTTACGATTTGTTGTCATGAGGTTCTTCAGTCAACAAACCATGACAAGACGAATAAGGCGTATTACTTCAAGGTGAATTTAATCAAATTACCTTTTTAGTAGATATAAATTACTTCTGATGAGTGTTTGAGGATTGAATTATGTCAAACCTTCAGTCAAGCTTTAAGATAAGAATATTTTTATACATCGCGGTGTGTATGAGAAGTTGGAGGGTAATAATACTTAATGTCTTGGTTGTATTGTGTTCTCTGATTTGAGACGCTTACTCGTAGAGCTTTCATCGTCCTTCTACATGGCGTCTTCAGCACTAACTTCAGTATGAAGTATCGTCTAGAAAGACGATGAAAGTTGCACGAGTAAAAACCTCAGCTCAGAGAACACAATACAGCCACAACCAGGACCATCCACCTGAGCTACAAATATTCTTCACCAGTACTCAGTGTCGTATAAAAGCCGGGAGCGATCGCTTCAAATGCCAGAGCTTTATCCACTACACCACCGAGCCATGATAGCTACTTGGTGTGCGACTTAAATTAACTTGAGAAACAAACTATTCATATTTTAAAGTTTTGTATGTTATTAACTTGAGTATATTACTCATTACAAGTAAAAGAATTACTCACAAGTAATCCATTTTAGATGAGGTTAAGAATTGAAAATGAGTACAGAACACGTTTTTTGAAGTGTTTCGATTTCAGGAGTTATCATAAAGTTTCAAATTTTCACGGAACTTGTTTCGAAACTATTAATCATCACATTTTCGATTACTTTTTTTCCTTTTATCACACTTTTCTCTCCTATTATTTTTATTTGAAATCAAGAACAATATTAGATCGTGAAATTCAATCGACGTATACATTTTATGCATATGTACATGATGGTCCTGATCAAAGTAATCAAACTTCAAGTATAACTACTGAAAAATCTAAGATTCAAGCAACAAAAGGTAATAATGGATATAATCAGGATATTGTTAGCCATCATCGTTCTCATACAGCTTCAATAATGATAACAATTACAATACAAGATGAAAATGATAATGATCCAGTATTTATTCGACCGAATTCAACTAATCATATGATATTGTTGAATCCATCAGCTATTCCTGGGCAGTCTTTATCTCAAGTAAGTATTAGTTTGAAAGTAGGAATAAATATTTGTACCGTCTTAATTTTGACTATTTGAGATATTCACAGTTTGGTAGACTAGTATTTATACTGGGTGATGATTAAAGGTAAGATGAAGATTTGAATGGATTCGAATCAGTGCCGAGCGGATTTCTAGCCCAATTCCCTACCAACTGAGCTATGAGTTTCGACTGGTGACCACATTTTTATTTCACTTCAATCACCCAAGGGTTTTACACGACTATTGTATGATCACATCAGCTACTTAGTCAGGACTATCTCAGATAGTCAAAATGATAAACAATATGATAACCATCCCCCTCCTCTCTCATTAAATTACATTTGGGTGAGGATGAGAAGTTCTGACTAGGCAGCCAGTATGAGTACGATTAAGCAGTAATAAAGCGTCACAAATTCATATAGTAGTCAGGCAAAACTCATGGTGATTGAAGTGAAATAAAAATGTGGTCAGCAGTTGGACATCGTAGTTCAATTATTAGAGCGCTACGTTGGAAACCTAGTCATATTGTCCAGTTCTGAATTTTTTACAACGTGTCCACCAAGCTAGAAGGTTGTTTTCCAATGGTTAATGGATGTATTTATGCCATGATAGCTGTGATCAAGAACTGTTGTCAACCTAAAAAAGTTCTATGCTAAATGAAACTGAAAAACAGTTTTGTCTTACTATAGGTCTCTTAAAAAATCCTCATTTTCAAACTCCTTAGGCTATTCCTTAACTTTTAACAATGTATATCCTAATCCATTATGTAAAATCACTTTATGGCAACATTGTATTCTCATATTGGACCAATGAACTCAGTGATTTATTTTAGTGATCTGATGATTAGAAGGTGAATGCTATGAACTATGTAGTCTAAGGAAAGCTAATTTTTTGAAAACAATGTCTAGATAGTTGTTTCCAGAAACTCAACTATGGACTAAGTGAAAATTAAGGCATTTTATGCTTGTTATATATATGTTGTTTGGATGTTTACATGAAGGTGTATGAGCCTTTCAGAGCTTTTAGTTGATTGAAAAGTGTCAACATCAAAATGACCTATAGTTTCAATTCTACAGTAGTTTTGACCTGCTTTATACTTTGATCATCTTCCATATATTTTAGGATCAGTACTGTAATCAAAGGTATCACAGATGATTTGGTTAACAATTCGTCATTTTACACCTTCTTTCAGACTATCATAGAAAGCCAAGTATAAATTCCCTAACCACTTACTTTATGTAAGTGTACTACAATACGGTTAGGTTGCTGTAAGTAGCGTCTGTTCTATGAATACTCGAGAAGATGAAGTTAGCTGTTGACTACTGTTGGTCTTTGTCCATTTGAGAAACTTGAATTCAAGTTGTTATTCCTCGTAGACTGACATCAGTTGGAGGAACATTGGAAACCTGAAGGCACTGAACAGCTGTTTCGTCCTCTTATGGAACTCCTCAGAAGTGCGCACCCACAATCCCGCACCACCAGGGATCGAACCCGTGACCTTCAGATTCCGTGACCAGTATGTTATCATTGAACCACTGGGTCGGAATTCAATGGTCCGTATTTCCAACTTCTGTCAGTTTTGTCAAGAATTCAACAACTAAAAACAACGTGAACATTTTATTCAATTCACTAAACATCATAGCAGAAAAATAAGTCGAATTCAATAGGGGAAAAAAACGTGGATAAGAAGTTCATCAGTTGATTTAGTGTATCCAACTAATCTAAAAAGGCTTTACCAACGTCAGAAAACGTCTCATCAACACACTTTCACATGCACACACACACACACTAATATCAATAAACTCAAGTACTTCATCTTTTTCAATCAACTTGTTAAAACATAGAATGAGTGTGTTAGATGAATAATGGAATAATTCATAACTCCTTTTTATTATTACACAAGTTGGATGTTCTCTGTTTGCTGCATAAATAATGTACAAAAGAGAAATTTAGTAAACAGGCGTGAAATAAATGACAAGTTTTTTTCCTTTCAAGAAAAAAGTACACCTTGTGTATAAGCTCCCCCCTCCACACACACACACACATACAGACACATTAGGATGATGAGGATAGTGTCTTCTCTCTTCATCTTCGACTTTCTACTCCTCTGCTTTAGAGTTTTCATTACTTAACAGCAACTATCTCTCATGGGAATATATACATACATATAATATGTATATTTGAAGGAGATATAATCAGGCATAACGCGGTATTTACTTGCTCACAACAAAGAAAGAACATAAAAATTCACTTGCTTTTTATTTAATTATTAAGCTAGAAGTAATTTATATTTAGTAAATTTCAGATCTACCACGATGAAGAAGATAGACTTTTTCCTGTAGAATTAGCACTTATTGTTTCCAAAGATTGCGAAAAAAAGCTTGGAGATTTGGATTTCGCCGCCAATCACTTGTGTATAGTGTCACACATACTCTTAGATCTACAGGCGAAAACTAACAAGATGATAGAAGAGACAAAGCAGCGAAGATGGGATTTCAAGTGGACGTAAAGAAGACGGAAGTGATGAACATACCGCACCTACAACACAACCACCAACATCAGAAGCCTCCAATCACCATCAATGGGAGAAACTTGAAGGAAGTAGCCTCTTTCACCTATATAGGTAGGCAGCATCGTTTCAACTACAGGCAGCACAGACGGAGATGTCAAAATCAGAATTGGAAAAGCAAGATAGGCGTTCATTAAGCTGCAACCAGTGTGGAGATGGACTGCACTGCACTCAGTATAATGCGTGAACAACATCCGGATTTTCAACACCAATCCAGTCAAGTCAGTGCTTCTGTGTGATGGTTGAGAGAGTTGGTGCGTTATGAAAGGCATTTGCAACAAACTACAGATATTGATCAACAGCTACTGCCTACGCTGGCTGGTTACTGAAGATGGTATGGATGGCGAGAATAGTGAGAATAAGCAAGAAGGAACTCTGGCTGTTGACGAACCAACCAAGAACTCACCACTCAACAAATATGCAGTGGAAGGAAGTGGAGATGGGTTGGGTTGGGCATGCAGTGAGAAGGCCGACTGGGGACATCAGGTGGCAGACCAGTTGGTCGAGTGGAAGTTGAATGGGAATGGACGAGTTGTGTTTCTGAGTTGATGGTGACATGGAGGAGATGGTGTGAGGAGGGAGGGAGAGCTTGTGGGCATTCGTGGGACGAGGTTGAAAAGATTTCAGAGAAGAGAGTGTGCTGGAGACGTGCTACTGAAGGTGTCTGTTGCATTAGGATCCAAAGGGATAAATAGTAAAATATAATAGTAATAATAATTTCCAAAATTTCTGTCAAACTTGAAATTTTGCACTGTTTTTTCTCTCAGATGGAAACATAATTGTGTTTATTGACTCTTCGTTTACTTGCAATGATTTCTAATTATCTATTCTAAAGGCGTAATGGAGATTCTAAGTTGATATTCATCATGGATCTGAATGTTTTGGTTTGATCATAAAGACGCACTAGTGAAGAGTTCCATACTGGGAGAAAGCAGTTATCTAGTCCGTCTAAGCTTTCAATGTCTTCCGGATTGATGTAGATCAACATGAATTTCGTTTCCGTTGAAATTAATCAAATATTTTAAGGTTGAAAAACTCGGATTTAAGCCATTGGTGATCAGATCTAATACACATCTATATAGTAGGAGTTAACTCATCTAATTGGTTTACAGTTCCTAAACAACATCTGGGTTCAATCACTGTCATCATGCTTAACTGGATAGCAACAAACAAAAGCATTAATATGGAACCAAGGAAAATGCATTTATATAATGTAATGGAATTAGTATAAAATAATTCTTCTTTTAAATTCATAGTAATATGAGATTATACTAATATACAATATAAATTATACCTCAACTGAAATCAACCTGACGAATACAGTCTCAAGGTTATTTAAGTATTCTACTGTATCGACACTTTATAATTTATGTTTGTACATCTTGACTTAAAAAGTGTAACTAAGTAGTATGTATTTTATAAACAATTCTAAGAGACTAGTACAAATTAACATAGTAACTTGGCTGATAGATCACCGGACTGGTAACCTGAAAATCATTGGTACAAATCCTGTCGCTACATGTACTTTCATTTGAAGTACATCATTCAGTCTTTATACCCATTATTGTTATTATTATTTGTCCCTTGGGTTCCTAGTGGAACAGACACCTTCAGTAGCACGTCTCCAGCCCACTCTCTTCTCTGAAATCTTTTCAACCTGGCTCCATGACAGCCCACAAGTTCTCATTTCCTCCTCACACGATCTCAATGTCGCCCTCGTCTCGGACGCCCAACTAGTCGTTTCCTATTTAACTTCCACTCGACCAACTGGTCTGGCGTGTGATGTCTCCCAGTGGTATTCTCAGTGCATGCCCAATCCAACCCATCTCCACTTCCTTCCACTGCATATTTGTTGAGCGGTGGGTTCTTGGTTGGTTCGTTCCCAGAGTTCCTTGTTGCTTATTCTTTCTGGCTATCCATCTGATCTTCACTAGCGAGCGTAGGCAGTTGTTGGTCTTTATATCTAACTAGAATTAATCATTTAGATTCTACGATAATCTTAATCGTCTATCGGTGAAGTTGATGTTCACAGGATCCATCAGTTTATTTCATCCATCTTCAAATCGGTGGACATTATGCACTAAAGATGTTTATTCAAATGATAATTATACCTTTAAAATTTAGCATGAATTATGTATAAATTTCACACATACTATCAGTACATAGATGTTGACGGTAAAGGTTGCATTATCTATCACTTAACTAACATGATTAGGGTTTTTCTTCAAGTTAAGCTTGACTATGATGGAATCATCATGGGAGCAATATTGAGGTCAGGTAAAGGGTTCTAGGGGAAGGAAGGCAAGCCAGTCAATGAGGTTATGAATCTTCAGAGAGTTAGATGGTCTAGATATGTGCTGCGCATGCTGAGCCATTGTCCATCTTGACATACCATGCTGGTGAGGGAAGTTGGATTAAGTAAGAAGAGGGTTCAAAGTGGATAGATCAAAATGTATCACCACTGTATGTGGACCACCTGGCTAGTGTCCAGGAAACAATAGGAATGCGTGGTTGAAGACTCACGGGAATGGCACAGATATATTTACTCTTTGACGTCTTCTAAACCCTAAATGTTTTATTTAACCTCCATTTTTAAGCTCCTTTTCCTTGTAAGCACATTTGTGTACTTTGATATCACTCTTTTTCTATCCACCTGTTCTTTGTATACTACTATGAAGAGTGGCAACTTGAACCAATTCAGTTGTATAAGAGGTACTACTGACTGTTTGTCTATCCATCAACTTTAGTCACAATCTCTTTTCTTAACGGAGATTTCGTGGATCTCATCACATATAGCCTAAATGACAACCAACTTTATATCATTCGATGCGACTATTTGTGTGAATTCCACTGACTCAACGTCACTGTCTTGATATGAGATATAAAATTGTAAAATATCTCAGGGAACTCAATGAACATTCTATCACGTTAAGACTTACCAGCAGTTCTTGATTTGTAGTCTATGAAAGAATTAACCCTGAGTAGAAATGAAGATAACCTTGTTACTCAGACTTTGTTTATCATTTAATGACCAATATGTTTGACTGTAGTTAAGCTACCACGTATTATGATCACTATCCTGTGTTGGGATGTTTGTAACTTAACTACTTAGTAAAGTTAACCTAGACGTTAACCGTTTGTCATAGGAAGGCATGACTAATCATTTACGTGCCAAAAGATGAATTTCTTATGGTACAAATAATGACCCACAACTTGGTAAACAAAGTAATTCAACAGGTGTCATAAAAATTCAACGATGGTCAAAGTATTTGACAATTCAAAAGTAATCATAAAATTTTTGAAAGGTTGACTAAACGATAAGACCAGACATTCATGGGTTCTTCCCAATGAAAAATTGAAGCTAATGACTATCGAAGATTCACAAAGTGTGATAAAATGGTTGTATATTATTCCTTTTGTAACCGATGTATCGATTTCTATCCTCAATTTTTAACTATTCTTTTTCCAATCTTTCTAAATATTTTCAATCAAGATCAAGATAACCTCCTATTGATCGACATAAAGTTGGAAGAAAATTGAGAAACATCTTGTATTTCCAGATACCAAAGGGTTGATTTTATAAAATAATCTATACGTGTGGCTTAACGACAATATAGAGTGATCATTTCAGCAGACTCATTAAAGGTATAAATGATGCAGTAAAATACATATAGGTTATAAAAGAAACTAGATTTAGTTATTCATGATTGACAAAGGTATAGTGCTAGCTACCTGGATACTGTATCATAAATATATCAAGTTAATAAGTGCCAACTAAAGTGAACCGATAAACTTATTGGCAAATCATTGGATTCCGTTTTGTTGTATTGTGTTGGATCTGTTATATCAACTATTGAGAAGCTGTAAGAGAACACATTTTAAGCTTATTGACAGTTGTGAGCAAAATGTTTACGTTCCTTGAAGGAAACTCTTGTCAACTTTGAATTTCTAACTGAGATCACGGGGACCATACTCCAACGAGTCTGTTTAATTGAGAATTTAAATACTACTGTATACGAAAACTAATATTTTAAGCTTTAAACATGAATATCTTACAATAAATTGCCAAAATCAATAATGTTTTCTTCTCCAAGATGTTTATTATTCATTCAACCTTTCATTATCTTTTTGTTTTTGCTCCAGCTATTAGCAACAGATCCAGATGAAGGTTTAAATGGACAAGTAACTTATGCTATAAAAGGTGAAACAGCAGGAACATTATTCAATGTTGATCCACGAACTGGACTATTATATCTAGAAAGTCAAATACCTCGACAGTATATTTCAAATACTAGGCGTATGGCTGATAACAACAATCACAATAATAATAATAATAATAATAATAATCAAAACCAAGCGAATGATCTTCTAGAAGTTTCAACGTATCCAACATTCTTGTTAGCCTTAGATGCTTGTGATCAAGGAGAACCAAAACGATGTACCCATTTCCCAAATCTACAAATTCAGGTAATTAATTCATTCCTGTTGGAGATTTATGAGAATTTATTGATTTCAAGAAGGTATTTACCATTTGGATGATCATTGAAAACCTACACAGCTGTTTCTTCCTAGAATACTATAAGAGAGCGAATACTAAACGATGACATTAAATAAAGGTAGTAAAAGAAGTAGTCCAATTTGAACCGATCGCATTCCAACCAAGTGGTTCACTAGTTACGTGCATGCGACAAAGCCTAGAGGTCTAGGGTTCAGTCCTTAGCGGGGCCCCGCCAGAGACCGAACCCAGGACCTTAAGGTTCCATGATCAGCACATTACCATTGAGCCACTGCATCAGAATCCAATAGTTTACAATAGTTCTCCAACTAATGTCAGTTCCTCATGAAGACCACCTTATAGTTAATTGAGTGTAGCTTCTGATTGCACATTTCAGTTCCAGTGACAAGGTGAAAGGAGATTTGCGAACAGTCGACACTGGATATTCACAAGCATTTATCGATAGATATTGAGAAATTGAAGAGAAAAGATTGAAGTACAACCACCAAAAAGTATGTATTCATTGACTTCAGTTTCATAATAGATCTCAAATTTTAGGAACGATTAACAGGTGGTGGTCAAAGTCATTAGGCACCTTAAATTTGTTTTATATTCAAAAAGTAGGTATTATCAAACCTTGTCTACTTTGACTACATCATCCTTTATCAAATTTATATGCTAATTTCTTTATTCTTATTTACTCGCATCATCTTTAGTTTATATTGAATGTTTTAGCTAACTGAACCTAATTCACAATATTTTACTAGTTAAAGAATATTTGTAACTTAGGAGGATAATTTTGGTGATGTTGTCTAAAATGACAATGAAAGCTTCTTGATTAAACAATCCAGGTTGGAGATGACAATACCATCAAGTTTTTGAATGCATCTATTTATTAGACAATACATGATATACCTTTGTAACATTTCTAAACTTCTTCTCAAAGAATATACTAATAGGTTGTAAACCTTTGAGAGAATTGTAATGTTTTGTCTACCATTTCGATGATAATATCGAAACACTTTGATCAAGTACAGAATAGATTTGATGAAAATGACAGAGTTATCATATGATATGATGAATACATGAATGATTTATGCTGACATAAACTTGTACTAATTTTTACATTGTTTCCAAATATTTCGTTTTATCTTACACGTAAAAAAACTTGGTCTGAATGCCTAGAAACGTTTGATTACCGATAGTATAGTGGTCTTATAGCAAATACTGAACATTTCATGTTATGGCTTGTGAACTTTTAATATATGCGATAGATAGGGAATCATTCAACGATTTGGTGATTGGAGGCGAGGCAGTGTGTTCAAGCACAAGGATATCCACAAAGCGATATGGAGTTGATTTCACCAGACACCAGGACACACTACACTAAAAATCAGATCGACTTTATCTCAATCTCAAGAAAATGGAGACGCAGTCTACTTGACACTAGGTCAAGAAGAGGAGCAGATGTAGGTTCACACCACTCACTATCTAGTGCAAGGAACCTTCCAAATCAAGTTGAAAGCCTTCAAGGAAGCTGGTGATAGACCACAGTTCAAGTACAACACTCGGAAACTGAAGGACGAAACTACAAAGGAAATCTTCACGACAGCCAGCCATTAAGACAAAATGGGAGATATCGAGGAACATCCCTGAAGAAACCTGTGTGGAAGAACACTGGAAGTCTTTGAAAGAGATGTGGAAGTAAACCTGCACAGCCGTATTAGGAAGGAAGAAGAAAGAAGATAAGGAATGGATCTCAATGGATACATGGAAGCTGATAGAGCAGGGAGAGGAGGATGGTGAAACAGAAGATGAACCAGTGCAAGGACGCTCAACGACATGAGGAACTGAGTACAATGTATAAAACACTACACTAGACAAAGAAGTGAAGAAGAGTGCGTGCAAAGACAAAATACACTTCTACGAAACACTGGCAAGTGAAGCAGAACAGGCTGCTGAAGGTGTCTGTTCCAATAGGAACCCAAGGGACTAATAATAATATTATAATAATAGATAGGGAATAGCAGTGGAATGAAGGATATGCATTTCTTCAACTGAATGTACTTGCTCCCACCTGTGTCGCATAAGTAGTGGCTACCATGACTTTGTAGTCTAGTAGATATCATCCTGCTGTTTGAATTGATGAATTCTAGGCTCGAGTATTAATGAGAACAATATCACTCACTTTTATGAGGGGTCATTCAGCCGATAGATAGATAGAGAGATAGATAAAAAGAAACGTACATCTTAGATGCTACTGTTACTCACTATCAATGATGATTTATCTCTAAATTGTACTACAAACACACGATTAGTTGTAAGTACTTACAGTGGATCATTTTAGAGTTTTGTGAAGAATTGACTAATAAAGTCAGTTAGATCAGCTTGTACACAAATAGAATGAGTAGAAATAACTCAGTAGAATAGTAAAGATGCATTTTACTTTCACGACTCTTTCTAGTCAGCTGTTAAAATTACAGAAAAAGTTTAAATATCAAAGTACACTGAAGAGATATGATGCAAAACTATTGGTTTGAAATAGCGATAACACAATAATGACACAATATTCAGATCAATGATTAATGGTATTAGTTGAAAGAAATGCTGTTTCTCTTGGACAAGTAGTTCAAATGAAGTTACCTTTTAGTTATCTTCATGATTCATGGAAAATAACATCGCAACTCGTCGTCTGATTGATGATTACAATACAGTTAAGAGAAGAATTCAGGTAATCATTTTGATACTATTCTACTATAGTCAATCAAATATTTCTACTCAATCAGATCAGTTTTGTTAGGTATATCGATGAAATGGAAACATTGTACAGATTAGTACAAATTTATATCAGTATGAATTATTCATATACTCATCATAAAAGGTAAACATCATGTATGTCATATAACAATATTGACATAACGGCTATCCACGAAACTTTATCAGGAGATGCCTATCCCGTAGATCATCAACTATAAAGTCACCGACAGAAATCAATAAACGCATCATCCTATCATACATAAAGAATATATCAGAAATCACGAAAAGAATACTGAGACCACTTGGTTGAATTGGTGTGGCTCATAAATCAACAAATTCCCTCCAAACACTATAATGCAGACCAAAGGATGCAACAACCAAAGAAGATAAACCGAATATCATTTACACGATCACCTGCAATAACTGTAGTCAACACTACATTGGACAAAGTGATCATCCTCTTCGCCTTCGTCTACATGAACACCAACTGGCTATTAAACGTCACGACATTTCGTCACTCATTTCAATACACGTGGATAATTATGGACACGAATTGAATTTTGACAATGTAGAAATCTTGGACGGAGAGAAGAAACACAAAGAATATCAGAGAATTCCTAGAAGCTTGGCATTCACGTCAGTCAGTCAGCAATCAATGGATGTATAGACATAGACCCGGTCTATCAACCAACAAGAAAAATGATAAACGAGAGAAGGTCAGAGGTGAAACAGAGGAACAGCCAACAGGATAGTCTATACAATTAATGACACAACGATCAAAGGAAACAACCAATCACAGACCACACCATCAGAGCAAGCTACTAAATCACTCACGGAGAGATATTGACAGCCCACTTCGTACTGAAGTTAATGCTGATGATGTCGTCTAGCAAGGCGATGAAAGCTTCACGACTAAACAACCCAGCTCAGAGAACACAATGCAACCAAGACCATCCACCTGAGCTACAAATATTCTCCATTATTACATGAAAGTTTCGTTACTTTCTATTCATTGTTTACCAACTAGTTAAGGATTCAATATAATACAAGTCATCTTTGTGGTTTATACTGAATTCAGTTATATTAGGATAATTTCTGTTATGAAGTTGGTTGTCTTCATTATTCGAAATGCTTCAACAGTTTTGATGATATTGTGTTCTCTGAGTTGGATGGTTTAATCGTAGAGATTTCGCTGCAATTCTAGACAATATCATCAGCACAAACTTCACGAAGAAGTGGAAGATAAGGTTCTGTCCGCAGTTTATTTATTGGCTTGTTCTGATGGTCTTTCTGCCAAGATCTTGTCGTTGTCTACATGTTCATTTTGATTGGTTGTTCTGATGACCTAAAATTTGACCTTCTTATTGGTGGATAGATTAGGTCAATGTCTATATGTTTGTTGATTGCTGGGTACCCTGAATATCAAGCTTCTAAAACTTCTCTGGTATTCTTTGTATTTCCTCTATCCAGGATTTTCACATTTTTCCAGTCAAACTCATGTCCACAGTTTCCCACATGCATTGATATGAGCGAAGATATGTAGTAATGCTTCAACGTTTTTCGCAGTTATTGCAATTTATTTTGTGGTCAATGTTTGATTAATTTTACTTTGTTGTTGCATGTTTTGGCCTGGATAGTACAAACTGAAGAGATTTTGTGGGTTTGTGGTATACAGCGATTCTAAAAGGCTTTAATAATCTAGTCGTGATCTCGAAGATGTTCTTCATATAGGTTAGGACAATCTGTTTGTTGGCTTTCCAAGTTAACATCTTGGTTGATAACGTATTGTACAAATATTTTATGATGAAGTTGTATAGATAGGCTTTTTAGAAAACAGTTACTTAACACTTTTATTCTTTTCTCTGCAGTGTTGATGTACTACATTGTGTTTCCTCTCTTGTGAATAACGTTTTTCTACAATCGATTTCATGTACTTTTGGGTTGTTGCTATTATAGTTGAGTCGCCTAAAAAATGCACTTGTGAACATTATCCAACCGATGGGCTAAATATTCAGTATATAACTTTCTCTAGCTTCATCGTTGAACACTTCATAGACTTAAGCTCTACTAGAAACCTTGTTCAAAGTTCTCTACAATGTTTGACTAAATTGATGGATGGTAAGGGGGTGAGGATTAGATGTCTGTGTGCATTCAAAGATTCACAGCTTCAAACCTCAGTTATATGTTCAAAAAAATCATGTACAAACTTCCTCTTTACTGTAACTTGAATCAGATGTTCTACGCCATTTTTATTTATTTCTAGTTGATACAACATCTTATTAGTCAATACATTTAATGAAAGCTATTCAGATCATGTTATTTGTGAATGACTTTAAAGGCCATTCTAGCAACTAGTGAACAGACCAATCAGGTTTCGTTATTTCGTCTAAGGAAGCACTTTTCTATAAAATAAAGAGATGTAATTATCTGCTTCACTAATTACTAGGATGGTCTTTAAAGTCATCTAGTCCTATATTATGAAATATCACTTCATTCTGTATATACATTAATCATTTAACTTTGATCACTGACCTGGAATTTGTCTCGAACATTCAATCATTTTACTTGTATATTTATCAATGTAAAAGTATAAAAATGATTCATCAGAAATATATAGTTTCGTTCGCTGTAGCCTGTATTTTGTTCCATGTTGATAAAACTGGTTGAATCCCTGGAGGGCGGTGTCATGGATGCACACACCTGAGGAGTCTCATGTTACGATGAAATAGGTGTCCAGTACTCTAATGTAATTCCAACTCGTATCAGTCAGTCCATGATGAATAGAAACTTGACAAGTTGGGAATTTTCTTTATTCACATTTAATCTTACTACAGCTAACATCTCTGTCTGATCAATACAAGGAATATAGAAGGGATGATAGTGTATCAGTTAAAACTCACATTACGTTTTTACGTTATATGGAAGAGAACTTTTCAATGCATAAAATTATATCATCTTTATATTCATCAGATACCTAACATGAGTCGCAGATTTTTGTACCGTCGGAATGAACCGCCACCATCAAAATTACACTTACATTTTTGTTGATTCTTCATTATGGCTCAGAAGCCTATGCAGCTGGCTATTACCATATTATTACCATGAATATTGTTATTACTAACATCATTCAGATAGAATAACGATTTCGTATGAAAGTATTGTACTGGGATATTGTTTGGAATAAAGTGATTATTATTATGATCATTACTATTATTATTATTATTATTTGGTTCAGTCAATTTTACAGGAATCTAATTCACTTATCACTCAGAATACTAAGTTACTTGTAATCCGTTTCATTCTTTTATCGCAAAAAACATGATAATCAAACTTTTAGAAAAAATAAGCGTGTTTCAATTGAATACTTTTATTGAAATGTCTTCTTTTTCTTTCTGCTTTCTTTAAATATCGTTAAACAGATTCGTAGTTCATCGAATATCATCGATGAAGTTAAATCAAGTCATTTACAAGATTCTAGTTTACTTTCAAAATCAAACACTGGAACTATATCACTTGCATCATCGTCATCATCATCATCATTGGGATCTGGAGTAACTAATTTCTTTCGAATCAACTCTGGAATTATTAATCCTTATCTAGGCAAATATTCACTTGTTGAAATTTTAATTATTGGATTCTCTATCTTCTTTTCATTACTAATACTGATTATTTTATTTATTGTCTTCATTATACGTCGTAGAACTCAACAATTATTACAAAATAATGAACAAATAAGTAAGTCATTTACAAGTAGATATTAATATTTACTTTTTAACACTTTCATTATTTATATAACTGAATTCCTTAGAAGATGTATTACAAGAAGAGAATAGTACATCAGAGAGTTGAATTCAGAAAGTAATTAATATTATTTGTCCCTTGGGTTCCTAATGTAACATACGGCTTCAGTAGCACGTCTTCAATGCGCTCTGTTCTTTGAAATCTTTTGAACCTGGCTCCATGACAGCCCACAAGTTCTCATTTCCTCCTCACACCATCTCCTCAATGTCACCCTCGGATGTCAAACTCGTCGCTTCCCATGGCGATTCCACTCGAGGGCCTGGCCTGATGCCTGGTGTCCCCAGTCGGTCTTCTCAATGTATACCCATCCAATCCACCTCCACTTCCTTCCACTGCATATTTGTCGGGTGATAGCTTCTTAGTTGGTTGGTTCCCACAGTTTCTTGCTGCTTATTCTTATTATTCTGGCAATCTGAACTTCAGTAGTGAGCCGGCGTAGGTAGATGTTGATGAATATCTGCAGTTTGTTGCAAATGCCTTTCGCAACGCGCCAACTCTCTCAACCATCACACACGAGCACTGACTTACTTGACTCGATTGGTGTTGAAAATCCAGACCTAGTTCCACATGTTGAGTGCAGAATATCTCCACACTGGTTTCAGGCTAATCAACGCCTATCTTGCTTTTCCAATTCTGACTTTGACGCCCTCGTCTGTGTCTGTGCCACCTGTAGTTGAAACGATGCTGCTTACCTAGATAGGTGGTGGTTACTTCGCTTTAGTTTCTTCCGTTGATGGTGATTGGAGCTTGTTACTATTGATGGTGGTGTTGGTTGGGTATCTTCATCAACTTTGTCTACTCTACTTGCACTTGAAATCTCATCTTCGCCGCTTTATCTCTTCTATCAAATTGTTGGATTTCGCCTTTAGATCTTCATGTTTGAGTGACATTAGACATGAGTAATCGGCGGCGAAATCCAAATCTTCTAGGTTCTTTTCCGCAGTCCAGCGTATCCCCCTCTTCTCACTCCTCACGGTTTATTGCATGATGCAGTCGACCACAATCAGGAATATCATGGGTGATAGTAGGCAGCCTTGTCTTACTCCTATCTTCACTTCGCATTGTGAATTACTTGGCATGAGGCGTCTTCATATAGCTAGCTGTTGAATGAGGTTGATAAAGGTTTGTGGTATTCTGTAGTGTTGAAGCAACTGCCAAATTACTTCTCGATCGACTCTGTCTAAGGCCTTCATAAAGTCGATGAAGTTGAGATAGAGGGTTGACTGCCATGTTATACTCTGTTCTATGATGATGTGTAGCATATTGTTGCAATTTGGTCCGTACATGATTTGTAGTTCCTGAATGCAGCCAGTCTGTTCCGGTTGTAGTTTTGAATGTTGTGCATGCTTTAGCCTCTCCATGATGATGCGGCATAATATTTTGCTTGCTTGTGGTGGACGGGTACGTGATTCCGCGCTACGTCTTGCAAAGACTTAGGTGGCCCTTCTTCGGGAGTTTGACAACTGTAAATGATATCTTGAAAAATGTTGGTTAGAAATACAAAAAAACAGTTGAAGTTATAAACGGACTGCAACCAAGTTTTTCTATACTACCTGCCAAATGAAAGCGGTTCAACTACATGACTAACTGATTGTGTTCTACTAAACAATATCCATCTAAAGATTTATATGAATCGACCTAATTTAACTCATTCATTTAAACACTTTACAGTCAACTAAATGCTGATTTCATTGAAGATGATTGAGAGAGTAAATATTTTCACATCAAAATATTATGTTGCAGATAATTTAATTTTAAAAACTTTTTAGGATAAATCTGTATTATTTCTATAATACTTATCTACATGAAGTATTCATCATTCAACAACCAACCAGCTATTTATTTAACGCTAGTTAGACTGTAAGAAATCTTGAAACAGCGAAAATAACCTGTGTCAATAGAACCGAAAGATTTATACTAGTTAACAGCATAACGAATATTCTTTTCAATAACTTCTCATCAGATTGTACAGTTAGTTATAAAGTCAATTTCCTTAACAATATTAATCATAGCCAAAGTTTACGGCGAGTACTTTAAGGAATGGGTATGGAATTATAATTAAAATTTGACTCTAAGATTATGGATGATAGTGTACTTTATGTATATATATATATATATATATTTATTATTATTATTATTAGTCCCTTGGGTTCCTAGTGGAACATAGGGCTTCAGTAGCACGCCTCCAGTGACCTCTGTTCTCTGAGATCTTTTGAACCTGGTCCCACGACAGCCCAGAAGCTCTCATTTCCTCCTCGCACGACCTCCTCCATGTCACCCTTGGACGTCCAACTCGTCGCTTCCCATGGGGATTCCACTCGAGGGCCTGACGCGTGATGTCCTCAGTCGGCCTTCTCAGTGCATGGCCAATCCATCTCCACTTCTTCCTGCATATTTGTTGCGTGATAGGTTCTTGGTTGGTTCGTTCCCAGAGTTCCTTGTTGCTTATTTTTTCTGGCCATCTGATCTTCAGCAGCGAGCGTAAGCAGTTGTTGATGAATGTCTGTAGTTTATTGGAAATACCTTTCGTGACGCGCCAAGTCTCTGAGCCATACAAGAGCACTGACTTGACGTTGGTGTTGAAAATCCGTATCTTGTTCCGCATGCTGAGTGCAGAAGATCTCCACACTGGTTTCAGGCTAATGAATGCCTGTCTTGCTTTTCCGATTCTGACTTTGACGTCCTCGTCCGTCCCGCCTGTAGTTGAAACAGTGCTTCCTAGATAAGTGAAGGAGGTTACTTCCTTTAAGTTTCTCCCGTTGACAGTGAACCTCGCCTGGTTAACTAGTTTACTAGTTACTAGCCGGTCCTAAGCCCGGGTAAAGAGGGAAGGTTGGGCATAGGGCTAGCAACCCTACCCCGTAAAACAAATCTAACCGCTAAAGAAACTTCAAAGCACAAACAAAATATATATGTATATATATATATATATATATATATATATATATATATATATATATAGTCTTATCATTTTAACTCTCTAAGATGACCATGGTTTAGCAGACTGATATTTATACTGAGTGAGAACTGAAAGTGAAATGGAAAGTTGAACCGTTGCCGGATTCGAACCAGTGATCATTGTAGCTTATTTATTAGAGGATTGAGCTGGAAACATTGTGGTCACTGGTTTGAATCCGGCAGTGGTCCAAGTTTTCATTTCACCTTCAATAATCACCTAGTATAAATATATATATGTCAATTGTGGTGATAATTTGAGTGTGTAAACTTTGTCAATTGATTGGTGATCAGACGTATAGAGAAAGAAAATTAATAATAAAGTTCAAGGTTGCTTTGTGTCGAGTGAGTGATTAGTACAAAGAATGCCGATGTAAATTTACTTAAGGGCGGAAATGGAGTGGACATTTCATCATCTCAGTGAACCTTCATCGACTGAGATGGTTGGGACACGTACTACGTTTGCCCAGTCACCGATTGCCTCATCACACAATGTTGGCTGAGGTGGGTCCAGGCTGGAAAAGAGCCCGAGGTGGCCAGACTAAAACATGGCACCAATGTATGAAGTCTCTGACTGTTGGTTTAAGCCATGTAGGACGATGCAGACTAGGCGGTTGGGGTCCACGGGACAAGAGGAACCAGTGGTTGGAGACCCTAGGTGATATGGCTAAGAACCGAAGTCAGTGGCGCAGATGTATACACACATTATCCTCATCTTAACAACGCTATACCGAACCTCACCATTTTGTCACTCCTCTTTCCTTTCTTCTCGTACTTTACATTTCTTTTAACTGCATTCACTTATCTTCATCCTTCACCTCACTACCATTTTACTTAATGAACTGATGCGAGGTGTGGCAACTCGGACCGTTACGCAGTAATGCCTGGTCCTATGTTGATAATGATGATGATGAAATATGTGATACGACTAAAATAACGACAGTAGTAATGATGTGTAGAAAAATGTTAACAGGAATTTCAAAGGTTTATTATAGTAAGACGGTAGGAAAGTCCGATTAAAAATAATATAGCATTAATAATAATAATCGTTTCGTTTTCTGTTTTAAAAAGAAAGGAAATAAAAGGGCAGAGGTGAAGAAAAAAGTAGATTAAGAAGGAAAGAAAAGGTTTGAGGGGATGTTATTTAGTCTATGGAAAGCCAAGGTAGGAGATAGGGTTCGGACTTGTTCTTTTTGAATACAAAGTTGCTAGCCCTATGCCCAACCTTCCCTCTTTACCCGGGCTTAGGACCGGCTAGTAACTAGTGAACTAGTTAACCAGGCGAGATACCGCACCACCACCAACAACAAACTCCAGTCACCATCAACGGGAGAAACTTAAGGGAAGTAACCACCACCTATCTAGGTAGGCAGCATCGTTTCAACTACAGGTGGCACAGGCACAGACGAGGGCGTCAAAGTCAGAATCGGAAAAGCAAGATAGGCGTTGATTAGCCTGAAACCAGTGTGGGGATCTTCTGCACTCAGCATGTGGAACTAGGTCCGGATTTTCAACACCAATCGGGTCAAGTAAGTCAATGCTCGTGTGTGATGTTTGAGAGAGTTGGCGTGTTAAGAAAGGGATTTCCAATAAACTACAGACATTCATCAACATTTACCTACGCCGGCTCACTACTGAAGTTCAGATTGCCAGAATAAGAGGAATAAGCAACAAGGGACTCCGGGAACCAACCAACTAAGAAGCTATCACCCAACAAATATGCAGTGGAAGGAAGTGGAGATGGGTTGGATTGGGCATACACTGAGAAGGCCGACTGGGGACATCATGCATCAGGCCAGGCCCTCGAGTGGAATCGCCATGGGAAGCGACGAGTTGGGCGTCCGAGGGTGACATTGAGGAGATGGTGTGAGGAGGAAATGCGAGCTTCTGGGCAGTCGTGGAACCAGGTTGAAAAGATTTCATAGAAGAGAGTGTGCTGGAGACGTGCTACTGAATGTGTCTTTTCCATTAGGAACCCA